AAAAATGTTTTATTCAGGATTTCAAAACTACCAAAAGGCACCAGTACACCACCAGATCTATGTATGTGCCAAGTTTGGTGAAGAAACAGTGAACGGTTTGAGAGTTCTGCTCCGGAAAAGACAAATGTGCACGGACGGACGGACGGACGGACGCACGCACGGAGTCCATTTTAATACCCCCCCGCAAAACGTGTTGCGGGGGATAAAAATATGGCAATGATACACAACATGTATATTTAGTCCTACCACTGCCTACTAACAAGTAGCAGTTAACTTTCAGCAAATATGATATGCTTGTAATTAGCTGTATTAGCTGTATTCATTAACCTGTGCTGTGCCGTCTCCATCCGTTCTCAAACACCTGGCTGTCCCCTTCTCTGCACCCCTCCCTCGTAACAAACAGTGATCTTTGTCAATATTTTAATGATAGTTTGTTAAACAACTTTATTATTTTTAGGACAAAACTTCTGCAAAACCTCACAGAGTGGGTATGATGTTTTGATTATGATCAGCGTTTCATTGAGTATTTTATGTTCATTAGTTTTCGAGTTAGATTGCAATTCATCGGTCTGCTTTTGAGCCAAACGGGATTAGCTGTGAGTAGGATTCCAGCCTCTCTAAAACAAATTGTGTGTCCTGACAGGCAGGGGCAAGCCTGCAAAAGATGCAGCTTCATTGCACCAGTGGTTTCTGAGATGACTTTTAGAATTAGTGCGTGAACGAGTTTAGCTTTATGCCAAACTCAGCAATATTCCAGCTATATGACGACGGTCTGTAAATAATCGAGTCTCGACCAGACAATCCAGTGATCAACAGCATGAGCATCGATCTACACAACTAGGATACGATGACGTGTCAACCAAGTCAGTGAGCCTGACCACCCGATCCTGTTCGCCGTCTCTTACGACAAGCATGGGTTACTGAAGATCAATTCTAACCGGATCTTCACGGGTCTGGCTTTTAGATGCATGGATGACACCAGACAACATGCCACCACTAAAGATCCCTAGACTTTCAGTCAGATGAGTTGGTTTCTATCTCTGCCCTGGCACGTCCATAATTTTCTGCAGAAAAAAGCAAACAGATAACTCGTGTGAAATCAGACAACCATGTATTGTTTGTTTTCTCTCGTTACAGTTTTCGTCAGAAAAGTTCATTCGCATCCAGGAATTATAAGGTGAACAACTGATGCTGTTACTAGAAATGAACAGAATGGATAAAACAATGCCTCGACTTACTCATGTTAACAAACACAATCAAAGCACTAACAATGGCAATATCATCTACAATCAAATGTTAAATGGTTCACAAATGTGCTAAAAATCTCTAACTGCAAATGAATTAATCAGATCATGGGATACATGAGCGTTTGCTGAAATAACTCAACATAACAAAATAAATATGATAAAGCACATAAACGTGAATTGGGACAACCTTCTCATGCGGAATACGAGTGATAACGACCCATTATCAAAGGACTTAACACGTGAATAGGGACAATCTTTGTGTGTGGAATATGAATCATAACACCCCTTATCTACAGATTTAACCCATAAGATAAGACAACCTTTGTATAAGGTATACGAACAATAACATCCTCCACATCAGGGATTACACATTTCCACCCAGTGACAACATACCATTGCTATCACCCTTACCAAGAATGTGCAGACCAGTCTATCAATGTTGCTTTAGTTTAAGTTCCACATTAAAAGAGCAAATTGTTGGAACGAGTTCAACCCTAACTACTTCATGTATCCTCTGGGAAAACAACTTAACCTTAATAGTGTGGGAGAGGAAAGGTCTCATTTGCATCTGTTCTCTTTACTGAAGAAGTGGCAGCCAATATCTATATCTGGATACTTGTAACATAATACATTAAACAAACTTTATCTATCTTATTTTTTAAGATAAAGAATACCTTTTACTGGCAGGCAGGCCTGTGGAACTCAGTAGTGCTATGGGCTAGACATGCTTTGTTATCTTGACAATACCAAACGTGTGTACATAATGTTCCTCTATCCTTGAATATACACAGTTGGCAACCAAGGTGGCCTACAGCAATCAAATGACCCCAACTTGGGTATGCACTTTGAGTAAGTCCTACCACATCTCCAGCTCTAACACTGCCTGGTGCTGAAGCAGTGTGAAGATGGTCAAAAGATGGTAAACCCACTGCATCCTAACCATTGCCTCACAGTCAGGCCAGGACTTGATTTGTCGCTTAAGGGTAGCGACTTCACCACACAACAGACATATGTAGCTACAGGTGATGGGGGAAGGTTGTGTACACCAGCCTGTTAAGTATTGGCGAGATTTCGTTGCATGTGGCTGTCATTCATCAACTGTTCATTCGGGTCAGAATATCCAAATCAGGTCTGTCCATAGTTACCGCTGTCAACGGTTGGAACCAATTCCTGCCGATACTAAAGCTATGTTTCTTTTGGCTGACATTAGAAGTAAACCGTTTACATTCTCTCAGGACCAGGTACTTTCTCGTATGATTAAAAAATACTGCAGCAAATGGTGAAAATAATTTCCTCAATTTCAATAAAAGAAAACTGTAATGTTAACTGAACGTGCCAGATGCAGAACAACATCTTTGAAGGGTCCAACAAAAAGACATGGCTCTTGTACTCTGAGAAAGGACTTTCGACCTCGATTGCAACCGACAAATATTCTGTTCTCAAACATTCCAAGATACCCCTCCCAAATACAAGAATTAAGGTTATGTCATAGACATAACTTGAAACTGAGATGGTGTTTTACCTCATTGCTTCATCAGCTTTCCAAAACTAGAGACCACATCACCAGCACAGGTTCCCAACACAATGTGATAATGCAGAACCACGAAATCAAATCCTCCAACATGTGTAAGGATGTTATGAAGAACACCAACCTGCCGAATCAGAGGACTTATCTCTCCCTAGTACTATATATGACTGCACATGAGCCAAATGTTTAGGACCAGAAAGAACATTCTGTAGAAAGGGGTCGGATTTTCTAAAGGTTACTCTTTCATCATGCTTCATTTTCTTCTCTTTGACTGGAGGGGTAGTTATAGCATATATCACCATAGACAGGAGTCAAATACGGATAATCTGCCCACCCTTGCTACATTAAAACATTATTGGTGAAGCTCTGTCACATACTATCAGGGGTTTATCTAGAAGCTCTCCCAGAGGATACTCTGATCTAAAACTGCAGCAAATGTCATTAAAAAAATATCAGAACAAAATTATGTCCTGTTCAGGAAAGTCATTACTGACATTATGGGTTTGTTCAAGTGTCATGTATTTCACAGATCAATAAACACAATCTCATATGCTTAAATGACATCATGGATTGAATACAACCTGACATGAAAATACCTGAACTTAGAACATAATTGTTTTTGAACAAAGCAATGTAATGACACAGTGACAACAGGTGCTTGGCAGGGGAACTCAGGTTTGATGCTTGATAAACCCCATCTGTCAGAGAGTAGCAGCATGAGTGAGTGAATGGTTTTACGCCGCTTTTAGCAATATTCCAGCAATATCACAGCAGGGGACACCAGAAATGGGCTTCACACATTGTACCCATGTTGGGTATCGAACCCGGGTGTTCGGCCCCTGCTACCACCCCCAGTAACATGACATGCCTGACACTGGGTCGACCGAGTGAAGATAAAGCACCTATACCTGGGATGGTAGACTGGTCATAAAAATTAACATTGACAATTAATTGCAAAATTGTATTAAAGCAAAATAGATTTTGACTGGGATAAACACATACTATTAATAGTACAGAGATCTGTGTACAGGTGTGAGTTGAAAATAGACGTATAAAGGTTAATACAACTGAAACTCCCTACAGTGAATTAACAGCCATATATCCATTTGTTTGTTGGATCACATATGCACTGACAAGAAACAATGCTTCCACAAGATGATAGTGCTAAAAGCAACACATCAATTTGTTTCCCTTTTCAACTCTTACAAGTAATGTTTGCAAAATGATTGAGCAAATATAAGAGCTCTTGTCAGTATTCCAGGGCCCTTATTCTCCAAACATTTGTAGCCCTTAGAATTCTTAACTTTGATCGCAACCAATGTGTTAAGACTGGGCTTACGAAGTTCGTAGGGCTACGAACGTTTGGAGAATAGCCAGCCTGGTTTTGATAATTTGAATCCCTATTTTGATTTCTGGCTTTGACAAAAATATTTCATGATCCAACAAATAAACAGGTAATGGCATAGATTTATGTAACAATTATAACACAGTTTTAACTAATCATATGATATGCAAGGAAAAGTATAATAAGTGGAGTTCTCTCCCCTCAGTGAAGTACAGATTCTAGTACTTTTGTTGGGTTGAGTCCCATCCGGGATTCGAACCCACATCCTCAGTGAAGTACAGATTCTAGTACTTTTGTTGGGTTGAGTCCCATCCGGGATTCGAACCCACATCCTCAGTGAAGTACAGATTCTAGTACTTTTGTTGGGTTGAGTCCCATCCGGGATTCGAACCCACATCCTCAGAATCAGGCATCTTAATCACCAGCACAAAGTCAGCTGCTAGAATCTGTGCTTTACTGAGGCAGTGTAATCCCAAATATAACATTCATTACATTTGACCAGTTTCTAAACGACACTGTATATTCATTGAGTTCTCTCCCTTGAATTACCAATCCAATACACCCATAGTACAAAGGTGGCCCAATACACAGGGAGACAGTTCTTCAGTTCAGTATCTTCAGACACATAGGAGTGTCTTGGAAATGGACTTGATATCATTTTCAGTTCTCTTGCTAACAACCCTGAACCCATTAATACCTAACATGTTGATGGCGCAGGTCATGCCTTGCGAAATCGTTAACATCTTGACGTTAATTGACCACCCTAATTAATATGCTCACTTGCATCCAGTTCAGATTTACTCGGAATATAACAGTAATGTTTACTCTGTCAACTGGAAATGAATATAAATCATCAGTTAAACAACACAACACCTGCCAGATGGTCAATACGGGGGGAAGACAGGGACAGGAGGGGAACACAGTGGGTCCCGGGGACAGGACAGGAGGGGAACACAGTGGGTCCCGGGGACAGGACAGGAGGGGAACACAGTGGTTCCCGGGGACAGGACAGGAGGGGAACACAGTGGTTCCCGGGGACAGGACAGGAGGGGAACACACAGTGGTTCAGGAGGGGAACACAGTGGACAGGAGGGGAACACAGGACAGGGGAACACAGTGGGTCCCGGGGACAGGACAGGAGGGGAACACAGTGGGTCCCGGGACAGGACACTCGGGACAGGACAGGAGGGGAACACAGTGGGTCCCAGGGGACAGGACAGGAGGGAACACAGTGGTTCCCGGGACAGGACAGGAGGGGAACACAGTGGTTCCCGGGGACAGGACAGGAGGGGAACACAGTGGTTCCCGGGGACAGGACAGGAGGGGAACACAGTGGTTCCCGGGGACAGGACAGGAGGGGAACACAGTGGGTCCCGGGACAGGACAGGAGGGGAACACAGTGGGTCCCGGGGACAGGACAGGAGGGGAACACAGTGGTTCCCGGGGGACAGGACAGGAGGGGGAACACAGTGGGTCCCGGGGACAGGACAGGAGGGAACACAGTGGGTCCCGGGACAGGACAGGAGGAGGAACACAGTGGTTCCCGGGGGACAGGACAGGAGGGGAACACAGTGGTTCCCAGGGGGACAGTTCCCCGGGACAGGACAGGAGGGAACACAGTGGGTCCCGGGGACAGGACAGGAGGGGGGAACACAGTGGTTCCCCGGGACAGGAGGGGGAACACAGTGGGTCCCCAGGGGACAGGACAGGAGGGGAACACAGTGGTTCCCGGGGACAGGACAGGAGTGGGGGGAACACAGTGGGTCCCAGGGGGACAGGGGAGGGGAACACAGTGGTTCCCGGGGGGACAGGACAGGAGGGGAACACAGTGGTTCCCAGGACAGTGGGGGAAGGACAGTGGTTCCCAGTGGGGGACAGGAGGGGGGGAACACACACAGGAGGGGAACACAGTGGTTCCCGGGGGACAGGAGGGGAACACAGTGGGTCCCAGGGGAGGGGGACAGGAGGGGGAACACAGTGGTTCCCGGGGACAGGACAGGAGGGGAACACGGTGGTTCCCGGGGACAGGACAGGAGGGGAACACGGTGGTTCCCGGGGACAGGACAGGAGGGGAACACAGTGGTTCCCGGGGACAGGACAGGAGGGGAACACAGTGGGTCCCGGGAACAGGACAGGAGGGGAACACAGTGGGTCCCGGGAACAGGACAGACAAGAAAGATGGGCGAGGACAGGATGGGGAGAGAAAGATGGGCGGGATCAGGACGGGGAAGAGTGAGTGAATTGGGTCTCACGCCGCTTTGAAAATATTCCAGCACTATTACGATGGGGGACACCAGAAATGGGCTTCACACACTGTACCCATGTGGGGAATTGAACCCAGGTCTTTGGCAGACGAGCAGATGCTTTGACCACTAGGCTACCCCACCGCCCCGGATAATAATAATAAGTTATCTTCTATAGCGCACAGTCTCCAACCACCAAGTGATTGCTTGCGGCGCTTAATCAGAATCTGATTCTTATTACCCCGGATAACTCAAGCTGCCTGTTAGGCGCTAGAAGGTTATAGTCACTTGACTTTATCCAACCGGGTACCCTTTTCTGCTGGGTGAACAGAGGCAATTTGGAACAAACTCACTTGCCTAAGGTGAGACCACATGTATCACATGTGCTTCGTTGTGGGGCAGGACTGAAGTCCTAGAAACTCTCAGGAGTCAAGCTGCCAAACACGGCCACCCATCCAAGGACTGTCCTAGCTCGACGTTGCTTCACTTCAACTGATTTGTGACCTGAGCTCTGTGCACAGGACCACATCTGGTTGGTGACAGGATGTGGAAGAAATATGGGTGGGGACTGGAAGGGTAAGGGCAGAGCCAAGCAGAAGATGTCAGTCATGATAACTGCTAAACTTTTTCACTGTTACCTTATTAGACACAGTTTCAGTAAAAATGAATGAAAGATGACCTCCATGATCAAAAACACCACACGAGGGAGATAATTCTGTTGAATCGGTTTGAAAACATCTCACAAAATTCCAAATCTTTTGACAAAAACTCTTTGTACTTTTTTCAAAAACAAAAAGAATTTCAGAGATAAAGTCTTTTAATATCATATTCAAACAGTTTTCAAATATACCCCAGCAAAACAGCCTAGTTTTCTCTGCGAACATGTCTCTAAAATGAACCACTGTGCAATAAGGTGGAATTGCCTACACCCACCCTGGGAGACAAGCTGGCTGAATTGTCGTGTTGTGTAACAGTCAAGATGAAAGACATAACAAAGCCCAGCCTATAATTCTAGCTACATCTCAGTATGTCAAAAAATATGTACAAAATGTCAAGTCAATAGTATCTTATTGCAAAACTCATATATGTACAGAATGATGCTTTTGTTCCTTACAATAACTTAGCCTGGTGGAGCACCCACCAAGCTGAGAAAACACTGCTGAACAGTACTGAAAAGTATAAGGCCATCCAGTACAGGGTACCACAAGGCGATCTCGTAGAGAGTACCAAAAGGCCATCCAGTACAGGATACCAAAAGGCGATCTCGTAGAGAGTACCAAAAGGCCATCAAGTACAGGGTACCTAAGGCCATCAAGTACAGGGTACCACAAGGCCATCCATTAAAGGATAACACAAGGCGACCTAGTAGAGAGTACCTCAAGGCCATCAAGTACAGGGTACCTAAGGCCATCAAGTGGCGGGTACCACAAGGCCATCCAGTACAGGGTACCACAAAGCGATCTAGTAGAGAGTTCCTAAAGGCCATCAAGTACAGGGTACCACAAGGCCATCAAGTACAGGATACCACAAGGCCAACTAGTATAGAGTACCTAATGGCCATCAAGTACAGGGTACCACAAGGCTATCCAGTACAGGGTACAAGGCCATCCTGTACAGGGTATAAGGCCATACAGTACAGGGTACCAAAAGTCCATCCAGTAAAGGGTACAAGGCCATCCAGTAAAGGATACAAGACCATCCTGTACAGGGTACAAGGCCATCCAGTACAGGGTACAAGGCCATATAGTACCGGGTACCACAAGGCCATCCAGTACAGGGTATAAGGCCATCCAGTACAGGGCAGAAGGCCATATAGTACAGTATACCCCAAGGCCATACAGTACCAGGTACCCCAATGCCATACAGTACAGGGTCCCACTGGGCCATAAAGTAGAGGGTACCACAAGGCCATCCAGTACAGGGTACAAGGCCATCCAGTACAGGGTACCACAAGACCATCCAATACAGGGTACCTCAAGGCCATCCAATACAGGGTACCACAAGGTCATCCAGTACAGGGTACCACAAGGCCATCCAGTACAGGGTACCACAAGGCCATCCAGTACAGGGTACCACAAGGCCATCTAATATGTCATCTCCTGCTACCCACAAGCTGTCATAGATATCTGTTTTCCTGTTCTCGAAACAATATTAACAAACATCTCATTTTACTATGCTATCTGTGCTATAATTCATCTCAACCTTATTCAAAGAAGGGAAGTAACTCTGTCCAGGACCCAAATCTCTGTTCTTTCTCTAACATTATAAACGTTCTATATATATACAGCAACTGCCCAAATACAGTAAAATAGCAATCAAGCAGCAAAACATGGTTTGCATTAAGAAACACATAACCTATCAGTGCGCTCAACCAAAAATACACTTTAGATTTAACTTTCAACATATTTTCAGCCTGCCATCTCTGTAGCTACCAGTATGCAAGTATGGAGATTAGTGAGTGAGTGAGTGAGTTGGGTTTAACGCCACTTTTAACAGTATGCCAGTTATATTGTCTGTCAGCTTAATGAAAGGCCAAACTGATGCAAGTCTCAGATGCTTTCCACTTGGGTAGACACACCAGAAAGGGTAGGATACCGACATGCCTGTAGCCTTGGTTTGACCAAGGGAAGTAACTCTGCATGGTAGAGGTGTAGAATACACAAACCTTACAGTGGTAATCCTCAAAACTAAAAGCAACAAACATAATCAGGGAAGCTAGATTAATCTTGTACCTAATAATTGTTGAAAACCTGACAATGATTGCGACAAATGTAGCGTCAGAAAGTGGGCAAGCATTATGAGGGAAATTTCAGCTTTAATCATACACATATGGTTGGTTGGTTGGTTGGTTTAGCTTGTTTAACGCCGCACTCAGCAATATTCCAGTTATACTCCGGCGGTCTGTAAATAATCAAGTCTGGACCAGACAATCCAGTGATCAACATCATGAGCATTGATCTATGCAATTCGGATATGATGCATTCACACATGGCTGTCATGTTGGAGGTGTTTCTGATGCAAACAAAACTGAAACATTATGATTGCTAGCCCAATAGGCTGCGGTAGGTTACCTAACAACACAATCTGTAGCAAGATCTGCTCACATGGGGTCTGAGGCCATAGACTTTGGCTGTATGACAAGAAAAAGAAGGTTGAAGGCCCTTACAACTACGTAGCAACCGAGGAGCAAGCTATAGGGAGGGAAATCAAAGACCTGAATCCTGGCACTGACAAGAGACATAACTCTGCACAGATACAAAGCTTGATTGGCAAGTAAGGTAATAAAACAAGTCAACTACGTTACCATGAACTCACTCACTGAAATCAGAAAGGCTGGAGCATGGCTGTTTTCCATAAACTTGCTTCTGGTGATTAATAAGCTTGACTGCATTGTATATGTGGTCATAAGCCCAACAATACCACTGACTGTTTTTGCACGATCGTTTCACATTCATTGTGTAGCGAAGTATGAAATCTAGAACACTCTGTACAAAGATTGCAATAATTTATTTAGCCCCCACCAACACTCACTTAAAGATGGTGTATTGCATACATCAGACAGGTCCCTGAACAATTCTCTGCAAATCAGGAAACGAATATTAACATAAGGAATACGCAGACCTCCCTCGAGGCGACAGTCATTGTCATAGGGTGGGTGGGTCATAAGGTCATCAAGGAAGGGTTAGTCTTTTTGAGGGGGAAGGTGATAAAAAAAATGATACTCTTGGAATTTTTTTTGACATTTTATCATCAAATAAAAGAGAGTTCGGATAATGTCTGTTCAGAGAAAGTCCAGAAAAGAATTTTACTATGTTTGGGAGCTCAAACCGAACACTAAAGACATCAGAGTTGGGCCTTTTTTAATTTTTTATTTTTATCAAAACCTCTGACCCTTCCACTCTGCAATAAAGAGCCAATCCAGGAGTCTCTGATGCTTCTTTCTATAGTATATCATTCTGGTCTAAATTTACACTCTTAACATAAAGTGGTGGCAAGGACCTCTTCAGTTCTCATTCAGTTTCAAGCATGGATGATTAAAATATTCTCAGAGATCAACAATCAGGGTCAGATATGCTTCAGAACTATCAAAAGCAGAAATATACACACTCATGACACGTCCTGGATGTTGATAAAAAATCATAGCAACTTTTGTACAACAATGGCAGCTGTCAAAAACCACTGTCCAGGCTGCCATCTTGAATAGTAACCATAGCAACCGTCATAACATTTAAAGTAGTAGAGTGAAGTACATAGCAGGAGGAGTCAGCGAGGCACGAGACGCTGGCTACGGGATCTGTCAGCTTGGTCTGTGCTCTGTTCGTAAATGTCCATGATTTTATGCATCGTGGCAGAAACGCACCAAGTTTCCACCCAGGGTCAAACAGTGTCAATGACATATGACCCTACGATTGAGTACACAAAGGCCAATATTATATGCACGGATAGCCTTCAGTTCAGTCTGTAACAAAACTAGTTCAATCACATGGCAGGTGTCTGCCAATCAGAGAATAGTACACCTCCAGAAAGACTTCTTGGGGGTGTTTTCCTTCTTTAACTGGTAGCCTCCTCCTCGGCTCGATTGACCTGAGGCATCCTGCAACAGAACGTAAGGGGTTTTCGTTAGTGCTGCACCCATCCATCCAATAATGGCTTTATTGATCGTTTGACAATCAAAATTTCATTATCGATTAAAAGAAACCAATCGATAACATTGTATACTATCTTCAACAATAACATTAAAAGATTTGTGTACATGAAAGATTTGCAAATACCTCCTGGTAGGCTCGCAATCTCAGCATCAAATAACTGCCATAATACAGAAGTCAAGTCTATTTATAGCTTGCTAAGGGAGCAGTCATTTTCCACTTTTGGAGGTAGTGGCTTGTTTTAGAGTTTATGCATATATTGTTGCTACACAATGGCAAATACTTATTTCATAAACATTACAAAAACATTTCATTAGTTCTCTCTACCATAATCTCTATGTTGTTTGATTGCAATATGATATGAAAACGTGTCACATGTAGAGTTCTACTTTCTCAGTTTTCACACACACACAAAAATCTTGATTTATATATCATTTAGGTGTAAAAAGTGTGATCTAAATTCAAAGCCAGAGCAACAGCTTCTGTCATTGCCAAGGGACAGAACTGCAAATAGAGCTGCAACACTGGCAGAGATGGTGAACGTAATGGTTTCATACAGATCTGCTCAGAGTCGGCTACTCAATGTCAAGGCCACAGCTGAAGAGAATAAAACTTTTATTTGAAATGAAATCCTTTACAATGCATAAATACATGGTGAAATTTCAATAAAACACCCATTTATGCTACAGCTGAAACTAAAGTCATGATGCGTCCTTCCAACTTACTGATTTCCTGTCCATCTTGAGCTTAATATCTCGCGCTAGTGTGAAGAACGCCTCCTCCACATTGTTGCTGGCTTTCGCACTCGTCTCCATGAACTTGATCCCATGTTCCACAGCAAGCTGCAACAGTAACAGGCACTCAGTTGGCGCAATTGTCTGGGGTGTGTCCGTCAGTCAGCAGACCCTCAGTTGGCGCAATTGTCTGGGGTGTGTCCGTCAGTCAGCAGACCCTCAGTTGGCGCAATTGTCTGAGGTGTGTCCGTCAGTCAGCAGACCCTCAGTTGGCACAATTGTCTGGGGTGTGTCCGTCAGTCAGCAGACCCTCAGTTGACGCGAATTGTCTGGGGTGTGTCCGTCAGTCAGCAGACCCTCAGTTGGCGCAATTGTCTGAGGTGTGTCCGTCAGTCAGCAGACCCTCAGTTGGCGCAATTGTCTGGGGTGTGTCCGTCAGTCAGCAGACCCTCAGTTGGCGCAATTGTCTGGGGTTTGTTGGTCAGCCTGCATACACTAACTTGGCACCAATGTCTGAGGCTTGTTGGTCAGTCAGTCAACAGACACTCAGTTGGCACCAATGTCTGGGGTTTGTTGGTCAGTCAGTCAACAGACACTCAGTTGGCACCAATGTCTGGGGTTTGTTGGTCAGTCAGTCAACAGACACTCAGTTGGCACCAATGTCTGGGGTTTGTTGGTCAGTCAGCAGGCACTCAGTTGGCGCCTATGTCTGGGGTTTGTTGGTCAGTCAGTAGGCACTCAGTTGGCACCATTGTCTGGGGTTTGTTGGTCAGTCAGCACACACTCAGTTGGCGCCTATGTCTGGGGCTTGTCTGTCAGTCAGCAGGCACTCAGTTGGCGCCTGTGTCTGGGGCTTGTCCATCAGTCAGCAGGCACTCAGTTGGCGCCTGTGTCTGGGGCTTGTCCATCAGTTGGCACCTATGTCTGGGGCTTGTCCATCAGTCAGCAGGCACTCAGTTGGCGCCTATGTCTGGGGCTTGTCTGTCAGTCAGCAGGCACTCAGTTGGCACCTATGTCTGGGGCTTGTCTGCGGCTATGTCTGGAGTTTGTCCATCAGTCAGCAGGCACTCAGTTGGCCTATGTCTGGGGCTTGTCCATCAGTTGGCACCTATGTCTGGGGCTTGTCCATCAGTCAGCAGGCACTCAGTTGGCGGCTATGTCTGGGGTTTGTCCATCAGTCAGCAGGCACTCAGTTGGCGCCTATGTCTGGGGTTTGTCCATCAGTTGGCACCTATGTCTGGGGCTTGTCCATCAGTCAGCAGGCACTCAGTTGGCGGCTATGTCTGGGGTTTGTCCATCAGTTGGCACCTATGTCTGGGGCTTGTCCATCAGTCAGCAGGCACTCAGTTGGCGCCTATGTCTGGGGCTTGTCTGTCAGTCAGCAGGCAATCAGTTGGCAACTATGTCTGGAGTTTGTCCATCAGTCAGCAGGCACTCAGTTGGCGCCTATGTCTGGGGCTTGTCCATCAGTTGGCACCTATGTCTGGGGCTTGTCCATCAGTCAGCAGGCACTCAGTTGGCGGCTATGTCTGGGGTTTGTCCATCAGTCAGCAGGCACTCAGTTGGCGCCTATGTCTGGGGTTTGTCCATCAGTTGGCACCTATGTCTGGGGCTTGTCCATCAGTCAGCAGGCACTCAGTTGGCACCTATGTCTGGGGTTTGTCCATCAGTTGGCACCTATGTCTGGGGTTTGTCCATCAGTCAGCAGGCACTCAGTTGGCGCCTATGTCTGGGGCTTGTCCATCAGTCAGCAGGCACTCAGTTCAGCAGGCACTCAGTTGGCGCCTATGTCTGGGGCTTGTCCGTCAGTCAGTAGGCACTCAGTTGGCACCAATGTCTGGGGCTTGTCCATCAGTCAGCAGGCACTCAGTTGGTGCCTATGTCTGGGGCTTGTCCGTCAGTCAGTAGGCACTCAGTTGGCACCAATGTCTGGGGCTTGTCCATCAGTCAGTAGGCACTCAGTTGGCACCAATGTCTGGGGCTTGTCCATCAGTCAGTAGGCACTCAGTTGGCACCAATGTCTGGGGCTTGTCCATCAGTCAGTAGGCACTCAGTTGGCACCAATGTCTGGGGTTTGTCCGTAAGTCAGCAGGCACTCAGTTGGCGCCTTTGTCTGAGGTTTGCTGGTCAGTTAAAGGGCAAGTTTACACGAAAATTAACCTTCTTGTCTTGCACTTTTTCATCATAAAAAGTGTTTGTCAAGTAGTTTTATGGCCAAAACAGTACAGATATCAGAACTAACTTATTTTTTGCGTTATATCGATTCAAATTTTCCACATTAACCGAGAGTTCTATGTCTACAATAAACACACCATGGCTTATGTCCCTTGGAAATGACGTCATTGGTGCCAAACCGACAAACGAATGACATTGTTAGACCCATTTCACGTAGTGCAGGTATAGGTGTGGTTCTTGTGTCTCGATACGCAGGCTACTGTTTTAATCCAGCTGTTGCCTGGCTGTCAGCTGGCTATGTGGTAAAATCCACACTGTGATGACGTTGCAGTTTGAAAAAACGTATACTAGTACATTGTACAAATAGTGTTACCACGTAACCAAATTGTACGACATTCAACCTGAGTCGTATCGTTTTTCACAAAAACTAAAACGTTTATTCACTACATCTAACCTGCCATCGGTGAATGTGTCGGCATTCTACGTTTGTTACATAATTCTAACATAAATCTACAATATATGTCCAGCCTCTTCCACTCTTCGCACCTATCGATACCATATCCAAATCCATCACGAAGATAAACGCAGTTTGCAGTTTTCAATTCGGTTTGAAATTCGTTTTTCTATGACATCATCCACTCATTGTAAGGCAAATATACTTAAAATTACATGCACCATGAATCTGGCCTGTTTTGACCCATTACGAAGTCACCATTCACATTCACTCTGTTTTGCGTAACTTATAGTATGTCTTAATTCAAATGTCAAATTTAGCTAGGAAAACTGAATTTAAAAGACAACCAACCAACACACACACACCCAAAATAAATAAATGAATAAAAAATAACAAAACAAACACGTATAATTGTGTTCAGCGGTATATTTGTTGTTGTTTGATCGGATCACCAATGCTCGTTCTGAAACATTGTCGATGAACCGAGAATCGCTGAGAATGTTTTGGAAAATACGCACAGTTAACGTCAAAGTGAATTTTCAGCCTTATTGCAGAGTGTTTATAAAATCACGTCACACGTACACTTACACAAATCCCTGAATTCCTCATACAGTTCAAAATAAAATTATAAATGGTCTTTGTCACCAATACCAAACGTTTCAGTGAAATCTAACGAAATATATCAGATGCCGGACTGGGAAAGGACCACTTGTTTGTAATGTAAACAAAGTCAATCTCAGATTTCTCTCTGTGTATCTGTTCACCTACTTTTGTTGCAAACACTTGCTCATTAGTTTTAGACTATGTATCGGAAAGGTATTGTAGCAAGCCATAGTAAAATAAAATAGGTGTATTCCAATGATGTCCGAAATTCATCACAACATATTATAGTAGGGAGGTCAGGCACGGTGGCCATCTTGTTTTGAAAGTGAAACTAATCAAAATTCATCACATTTCAGTTTCATAAACAGAAATAAAAATAACATATATGCTTGTGAAGAATGTCTTAATAAAACATTATGTCTATTTTTGTTTTGTTTTCCATCTTATTTCATAATGAATTGAATGTTTCTTCACATATGCAACTTGTTAGGTTTACAATGGTGTGCTCCCATTTGCCAAAATGGCACCATCTAATATTCCTACCCTCAGGGTTCACAGTAAAAATAGGAGAATCATTCAAAGGTAAGTTTACCAAAATGTTCTGAGAAAAAATTAAAATGGCGGGAAAACGAATCGCCACCGTACATTTCCAGGCTATCTAGTTTCTAAAATCCATAACTGAAACAAGAAAACATTGTGTCCAGGGACACGGATGCCCCCGCTGCTGTGGGTAGAGTTCACACATTCAGGGTCCCACTGAAGTACTTCAAAACACTACAAACAATGTGTAGAAGGGTTAGATAACACAACCTATTATCATATAAAGATCGATAATTGAACAACATTCGCGAACAAGTTCAATAAACATCTATGCAACTATGAGATGCACACCTTTCGAGTCCCAATGAAACACACATATAAGCTTAATCAATTCTGTTGAGCAGTTTTTGTGGAGAAGTGGATAGACCTACCCGGTAATCCCCTATTTCACTATCATCAGAGAGAAATTCAACAAAATTTATCTAAGTTCAAATGTCTCTAAACATACAAAAAAATATAAAATACAAAAAAAAATATGAGATGCACACCTTTAGAGTCTCCATAAAAGACATATGTAAGCTAAATGAGTTTTGTGCAGTGGTTTTTGAGGAGAAGTGGATAAAGTACACCCCCTGTTGTACGGGACGAACAGGATGAATAGAACCAAATTCAACTAAGTTCAAACATCTGTAGAAGTGACAAAATTAAGAAATTGGATGAACAAGGTATGAGATGCACACCTTAAGAGTTCCAATGAAACACACGTAGAAGCTCAATCAATTCTGTTGAGCAGCTTTTGTGGAGAAGTGGATAGACTTCATCCCCTATAACACTATATTCAGAGAGAAATTCAACAAAATTTATCTAAGTTCAAACGGCATTGAAATTGGAAAAATAAATAAAATACAAAATCAAAATATGAGATGCACGCCTTTAGAGTCCCTATAAAGCACATGTGTAATCTAAATGAATTCCATAAAGTAGTTTTTGAGGAGAAGTGGATAATGTACACCCCCTGTTGGATGGAACGAACAGGCTGAATAGAACAAAATTCAACTAAGTTCAAACATCTGTAAAAGTGACAAAATTAAGAAATTGCATAAAAGAATTATGAAATGCACACCTTTAGAGTCCCTACAAAAGACATGTAGAAGTTTGTTCAATTCTGTTGAGCAGTTTTTGTGGAGAAGTGGATAGACTTCATCCCCTATAACACTATCATCATAGAGAAATTCAGCAAAATGTACCTAAGTTCAAATGTCTCTAAACTTACAAAATAAACCAATAAAATAAAAAAACAAAATATGAGATGCACACCATTAGCGTCCCAAGAAAG